CTTACTGATGGTTGTTTGGCTGATGGCTAGATTTTCTGTTATTTCCTGTAAGCATATTTCCACCTTGGAAGATGCTGAATTATGACTCTGCTAACTCTGTGCAAACCGCTTCTCAAATAACTTCAATGTGACAAGGCACCAGATAGAACAGGCCTTGTTATCAGATCTTAATCTACAAGCAAGAATGCCACTGTGTAATTTTGTTCTGCTGAATGAGCTTGATATTGTCTCATTAGATCTTCTAAAACATGGTCTGTTTTACACTGTGTTCTTAATTTATATTTTAGATAAACCTTTCTTTTAGTGCATAATCAACTAAAATTATTTATCCTGAATCTTATCATGCTGGACCAACATATATTCTCTCCTTACAAATCTTGTTTGAACGAATTTCCCCCACCTTTTCCTGTAATGCACCTTGCTAACTAATTGGTCATTTGAAACTTTCAGTGAAGTAAAGGAGTTAATCTACTGCCCATTTCTCTTCCCCCCCTTCTCCTTGAATGTGTTCTGGTAGTCTGTCAATAAGAACTATCAAGCTTGATCCCAGTTTGTCTCCTAAGAACGTTACGGTTTGGAGCTTTACTCCCAGGTCTCTGATCCACCTTGAGTTGATTTTTGTGTATGGTGTGAGATGTGGATCCTGTTTCAGCTTTCTGCAGGTGGAAGTCCAGTTTTGCCAGCAGAATTTGTTGAAGAGGTTTTCATTTACCCACTTGATAGCTTTGATTTCCTTGTCAAATATCAGTTGATCATAGATAGCTGGGTCTATTTCTGGATTCTGAATTTTGTTCCATTGGTCTATGTGCCTGTCATTGTACTAGTACTATGCTGTTTTGGTAACCACTGCTATGTAGTAGGTTTTGAGGTCAGGGAGTGCTATGCTTCCAACATCATTTTTGTTTCTCAGAAGTGTTTTGCTTATTCAGGGCCTCTTGTCTCTCCAAATAAATGTGATAATTTCCCTTTTAATCTCCTTGAAAAATGAATTTGGTATCTGGATTGGGACTGCATGTAAATTGCCTTTGATAAGATTGTCATTTTCACCATACTGGGTGTGCCAAATACAACCAGAAATGCACAATCTAAAAAGGATAAAATTGATTCATGGGATCTTCTAAAGATTAAATCTCTGTGCACATCAAAAACTTTTTCCAACAGGGTAAAAAGAAAACCTACAGACTGGGAACAAATATTTGGTAATACCACCTCAAGAAAAGTTTACAGAATACCCCTGGGCCTCCACAAGAAAAAGGCTGAAAACCCCATTACAAAATGGGCAAAAGACAATGGAAAGAATTTTCACAGAGGAAGATATTCAAATGGTAGACACATGAAGAAGTGTTCCAAATCACTGGCAATAAGTGAGATGCAAATCAAACTCACAAGGAGGTACCACCTCACTCTAGTAACAGTGGCAAACTTTAACAGGGCAGCAAATAATAAATGTTGGAGAGGATGTGGTGAGAAAGGAACTCTTATACATTGTTGGTGGGATTGTAAAATGGTGCAACCATTCTGGAAGGCGGTTTGGTGCTTCCTCAAAAAGCTGAACATAGAAATTCCATGTTACCCAGCTATTCCACTACTTGGAATATACCCTGAGAATATGAGAACTAAAGCACAAACTGAGATTTGTGCACCAATGTTCATAGCAGCATTATTCACCATCGCAAGAACATGGAAATAGCCCAAATGTCCAACCACAAATGAATGGCTTGAGAAATTATGGTACATTCACACAGCGGAATACTATGCAGCATGCAAGAGCAGTAATTTTGTTTTTACATAACTTGAGAAGGACTGGAGAGCATTATGCTGCTGGAACTAACTCAGTTCCGCAAGGATAAATAATTGTATAGACCGTTATTGTAGAATGAGTATAAGGATCCAGGAGGGGTGGGAGAAGCTGGAAGCAGAGGGAAGTGGATGTACAAGGGAAAGAGAGGATTAATCATTGGATTGTACAATTTGATGGGTGGTGAGTGAGGGAAATTGAAAGAATTTGTTCAAATTTTATTAAAATTTTGTAAATAAACTAGTGAAAAAACTTAAAAAAAGGTAAGAGCTATCAATATTGGAGGAGGATATGTATTTCTCTATAGCAGCTTCCTTTTTGTTGAGTATGTTATTCTGGTAGGAATGACACAGGAAACCAAAGCACTCATGAAGGACTTTTCCTCACCAACCACATACTACTTGTTGTTATGTGCCATCAAGTCGCCTGTAGTAGTGACTCTATGTAAAACAGCTCCAAAGCCTGCCCTGTCCTGAGCCAGTCTTACTGACTTTGACACACCTACCCCTATTGTCCTAGTAAACTTATATCAGGCATGGGCAAGTCATGCCTGCTCCTTCTATTTGCTGATGATACATACACAGAGAACTACATCAGCACCATCAGGGTGGAATTCAAGATGTGCAACCATAGAGCTGGAGGGCAAAACCATCAAACTTCAGATTTGGGACACAGCTGGTCAAGAGTGGTAGATGATGCCCCTGAGGGGGCAGGAGATGCTTTCCTCCCTCCCCTCTGAGTCTAGCTTTGGGTGTCCTGGGCTCCCCATCTCCCTCTGGCCCATCTGCCTACTGCCCTAACCCCTGGTTCTTTCAGGGCCCCCAGGGGAGGACCCCAGGGCCAGTTCCTGGGGTGGGGCCTGCTCTGCTGCTGCCTCTAGGTAACTTAACAAGATTCCATCACACCTTTCTTTGGGGAGGGCTTCTTTTTCTGTCCTCCCCTCTGTCCCCCATGTATACTGCAGTGGATCTCTCTTTGTCCTTCTCTCCCATCCACGCCCAAGGGCTGAGCACCCCCCTGGTCTGCTGCCCTGCTGCAGTCAGTGCCTGAGGCCACGAGTGGGGCAGGGGCTCTGGAATCCAGGGCTGAACCTCAGGACAGCTGTGGGGCCATGGGGCTGGTGGCCCCTCCTGCTTTCCCCACCCCTCCTCCACTCAGCTCACCTTCCAGCTGTGGCAGCCTGAGCAGAGCCAAGGCAGGTGGGCAGGCAGCCATGCTGGGCCTCTGTCTTAGCCTGGCGGGAGCCTGCTCCTGTGCCCCCTGCCCTACCAGAGCTGGGCCCATGTGTAGCCTGCCCACCACACCCCTTTGTCCCCAAGGCAGGCGGAGGCAGAATGCCTAATGGCTAGGCACCAGCCATCAGCCATAATGCCCTTCAGCCCCTCCCCCACATCTGGTGGATCTCTGCCCTCCAGACCCTTGGAGCCTGATGGATAGAGGATCCTTTGGGGAATGTGTGCAGCTGAGGGTTCCCCTTCCCCCAGGGTCCCAGCTCCCTGCCCTGGGCACAGAAAAGCAAGCCCTGGTGTCTACTTAAGAAGACACGTTCCTTGTGCTGTCTCTTGCCTGTCCCACATGTGGCTGTGCCCTCCACTTGTATTTGAGTTCCCAGGCTGCCCCTTGGGGAACGCCTCCATTCCGGGTTCCCCTCTGGTGTCATGTCAGGCATTTTGCAAGGAATAAACCACTTGGGGAAAGATAGAAAAGGACAAAAATAACTTAATAAATTTCCATTGGCCCTTAGGTGAGCCAAGGATTTTTTAAGGGGGAAAGAAAGAATTATTATACACAGGTGAATAGATGAGTGAAGCCACTAGTTCAGATTTGTAATTATGTAATGTAATCCCGTGTATAAATGTAGATCTGTAGGGTGGTGATTAAGCAAAAACAGAAGCTGAAGAACATCAAAACAAGACAAGTATCTGGTTTCTTCAATAGCTTCATCCTCTCACCTAGATTCTTCATGAAGCCAAGATTCATCATACTCAAGCATCATTGTAAAATATGCTCATGCAATTTCTGTACCAACCACAAAACATTATACCTAAGTGTTAGAAGAAAACTTTGTCTGAATTATGAAAAAAATAAAGTAAATCTTAATATGAAAAAAGTCAACATTATTTTTATTAGGAATAAAACTCCAAAATTTATACTAAGTGGGATGCTGAAAGAATGAACACAGCAGGATGACTGTAAACTGTAAGGAACTTGAGTAAACTTGTTATCAACTCTTTCACACACCAGACACGTCACCTATAAGACTAAAACAAAAGTGGGCTATGTCTATGGATACAAATGCCTAATTGAGCAAAAATTTTCATCTGACTATAGAAAAATTAACAGGTATATATTCTGAATAAAAACACTGGAGAAAATGTCAAAACAGAGAAAACGAGAAGTCAAAGTATCTAAATCCTGGCCCTGGCAGACTCAACCACACCTTCACTGACTTGATCTGACCTTGTCCTAGTAACAGGAAGTTGTGAAATACCCACGTCACTGGAAGACTATTTCAGCCATGCACTTAGCAGGATGTAAGGGGCTACTCACCTTCAATGCAAATGACCCGAACTTGAGGAACTTTCCATCTATGTTTCCAAAGTAATTTGTCATCGAACAAAGACCCTAGACTGGGAAGGCATCCATGAGCAGGGCAAGGACATGGCTACAGAAGTGAGGCATGAACACCTACGTGCCTGGTGTCCTTGGTTTGTTCCCAGCTGGGGAACCCAGGCATCAGGAAATGATGGCAAACTTAGATTTATCAGCCTCCTCCCCAGGAGCTCTCCAACTCAGAAATGACTAGACAACGTTTCTTCCACATTAACTCCATGGGTACATCTCCAAAGGGAAAACCGGGTCTCTCTTATCTTGGTACCATCCTGAGAACTCAGATCATGGTGAAAATATCTGCTAACATGTCAAGAACTAAGGATTTATCTACTATTCCACACAACATGAATTCCCAAGTTAACAAATATAATTTATAAAAGTTACTACACTTGACAAAGCAATTGTCAACTATTTTGTCTTACTCAAATTTAGAAATTAGAAGCAAATAGGCCTCTCATGAAGGCTGGAATGGATAAAGATGGATTTTATGTGGTGTCAAGGCCATGCATGCACGTGTGTAGGCTGAATCTGCGGCGGACAGCCCTGTGAGCTGCCCGTGAAATAGCTAGTGGATCAAGACTCCACTTACACTCCAAACTGCTGGTCGATGTGTGCTCCTCTCTGCACCAGGACTGGGATTATGGCATGGTGCTTGTTCCCAGCAGCCACTGCGATAACTGGTCGGTCTTCACCATCTCTGCAGTTGGGATCGGCTCCCTGCAGCATACAGAAAAGGAAAAACTCATAGCACCTTGCCTCAACGGCAGCCAACTACCATCCTAAGCATAGCAGAGTATGTTAAGCTTAATAAATTGCTTATGGGACTAAACTGCTTTTAGAGCAAAGGAGAAGAGAAGTAGAAACACTAAGTTGTTGCTGACGGTCCCTGCTGAGTACACTGTGACTCAAGGTGACTGGTCGATATAGTACAAAGCTTTGTGACCCTCGGTTGTCCTTACAGTCTGCTGTCATGGCGAGTATACCAATCCATCTCATTTAGGGAAACACTAGGACAATTTACAACGGACAGAGCTGTCAAATCACCCAGGTAGTAAAGCATCCATCCCATCAGGAGACTAAGATGCTCCAACCATTTCTTAGGGATTCTAGGCTGAAGTTAGCTTGGGGTCACACAGACCATACATAGCCCAGGAATGACATCTATCTTCAGACATGTAACTTGAGTCCACCTTTATGCTTATTTCCTTTGTTATAAAAATTAGTAATCAAGCAACAACAGAATGCCCTTGAGTACTCCTTTAACTCATTCTCAAGCATTTTGAAAATGGCACTGTAATTTTCCCAACACTGAGTAAAATTCCCACCAGCAAGAGACAGAGATACAACATGCGCTGAAAATGTTCAGAAACTTGTACTTTGGGTTACACTCACTTCATCAAGCAGTTGTTCAACCACAGAGACTCTTCCTCTCCCTGTCGGTCCGATTTCCTTCAGCAGGTCTCTGTTTTCAGGCTAGAGGATTATAGGATGTGGTTATTTCCATGGTTTTGAAATAGTATCACCCTTTAGCCTCACTTGTCTGAGATTAACTTAGTAGGCAAGGATTTCCTTTCCGAGGATACAGGCGTACTCCGAACCCCTGGGGCAGGCAAGCACAAGTGTGTGTATGAATGTACTATATGCACATGTGTGTGGTCTTCAGAAGCCAGGGACTCGAATCCACCAGCTGCTCCATGGAAGAGAGATGGTCAATCTCCTCCCACGTGATTCATCTTCTTTGAAAACCTGCTAGAGGGTCAGCTATGAGTCGGTTTTGACTTGATGGTACATAACAACAACAATTTGAGGAAAGGAGACTGGTCGCCTAATGACTAGGGGGTTGCACTGCCACCTCAAAGGAGGGCAGTTTAATTTTTTTCCAATTTTATTATTTTGTGTGTGTGTGTGTGTGTGTGTGTGTGTGCACTGTCAAATCGGATCTGACTGGTACAGGAGGGGACTGCCCCTCCTTCTCCAGCAGAGCATCTGGTGGATTTGAATCACAGACCCTTGGGACTGCAGTGCAGCTTCTTGCCACTAGGCCACCAGAGCTCCCTTAGAAGGGCAGTTTAAACTCATGTGACTTTTAGTCTCTGGAAACCAGTTCCGACTCAACAGCAGTAAGTCTGAGAGTTTTGAACTGGGGGAAGGACACTACAGCGACACTGGCTTGACTGACATGACTATTTGAAGGGAACACTACCAGGTGAATCCTAAAACAGTGTATAAAATGTTCAGGGTCAGCTTGAATATAACAGATCAGAAAATGTGCTTACTTGAAGAGTGAATCATTAATGCGGATCTCTTGTTTAGAGAGAAAAGCTCATATTTATCATTAGAAATTTAAAGCAGGAATTGTCATTTTTATTCTTAAACTGCTATAAGATTCTTTTGATGAGATAATTTTCCTATTAAATCCAAGTGTATCTTTATATATAAAGACTTCTGAGATTGTGGTTGCTGGACGACTGGAGGAGGCATCTGGAAAGCATTACTTTGAGTATGTTATTGCCAGCTGGGTTTAGGGCTAAGTGCTAGGTGGTCAGGGGGCCACTACTGCCTTGTTTACAAAGTCGAGATGATATCTGCTTTCCTCTCTGGCTCCCTAGCAGGGCAGGGGGCAGCCAAGGACCCTGAACCTTTCAGAAGATGATGTCCAGGCTATGGCTTCCTGCTCTCAGTAGGCTGCTTCAGAAAAAGGGACTTTAAATCACCGACCTAGCAGGCAGTATTGTGGGGCCCTGAATGTGCTGAATTTCATGCCTTCCGGGGAAATGGACTGTAACTTATGAAAATGTCAGCTGCACGTGTTCTGAGATGTTTATCTTCTTAATTGATGTTTGTTGAAATGGAGAGAAGAAATCAATTTATTAAGCAGAGTGATGGCATCTGCCCAATCTAAGAAACCCTTGTGGAAAGGCTCCTCATTTGGAAAGCATCCACATTATGCATTACTTTTTTTTCCACTTTTAAAAATTAATTTAGTTTGTATATTTTTCATTTCAATGAACATCTACAGAGATTTTGGAATTCCATTCATTCATTGTTGCACCCTTCTCCTTTTTGAGGTTCTCTTGCAGCTGTGGCCTCTAGACATGTGACCTAGACCTGGTTTCTTAGCAGGCTTTGAATAACATTTTATTTTTAACCATATTTGGTATATATTTGTTCAAAATGACTCCTGAATGATTGATTTATTGTTTTAGTTTTTGATATTATATCAAGATGCAAATGAAATAATGAAGGCAATGGAAAGATTCCCTACCCTAACAATACAGTGGGGAGAGTCTCTAAAACGGTAAACTCTTAAAAACACACACACACACACACACACAAAAAACAACGGTAAACTCTTACTAAGTTCAAGGAACTCTATATTCCACTTATGCTTATTAACAGCATTTCAAAACTAGAAGAAGATACAGTGTTCCGGGAATCAGAATACATAAAAAAGTTAAAATAACAAAAGCACAAATAGGAAAATAAAAATAATAAGATAAATTTATAGTCAACTCATTTTTTTTATAACGGTGCTAAGTCTACAGGATGGGGATGTGGGGAAAAAGCATTGACGTCAGTTTAAAGACTGCCTGATCCAAGTCCTGGTCTTTTCCAACTGCTTCCTATGTATTAGAAAGTTGGACTATGAATAAGGACAACAGAGGAAGTAGTAATGCTTTTGAATTGAGGTGTTGGAGAAGAGTACTGAATATCCCATGGACTGCCAAAAGAACATACAAGTCCCTCTTGCAGCAAGTACACCAATGTGTTTCTCAGAGGCAAGGATGGTGAGGGTTTGTCTTACATACTTCGGGCGTGTTGTCAGGAAGACCCAGTCCTCAGAATAATCCTTTATGCTAGGACTGCAGAGTGTTAGAAAAACAGAATCTCCACAAGATGGATGACGCTGTGACTGTGATAATGGCATGTCAGAGACGGTGAGGATAGTGAAGGATGGGACAAAGTTCAGATCTGATACACAGGGTAGCTATGAGTTGTAGGTGATTTGAGGGCACCTACCACCACCACCACAAAACCCTCTGCTGGCTGAACGGTAAGGAATTGTACTGCTAACCCAAGGGCACACAGTTCTAATCCACCATATGCTCCAATCAGAAAAATGGCAAGCTCTTCCTATGCAATTTACAGCCTCTGAAAACACTCTTGAGGGTCAGAGAAGAGTAATTTTCAATGGCACAAAACAACTCCAACACATCCTGATTAGATATTGTAATTAATAATACTAATTGATGGTAATTATTGTGGTTAAGAAATCTATGAAAGAGAAAGAAATTGATTTTTAAAAATTAACTACTGGAAGGTCAATGGAAAAAAATGCAGAAATGGCATCTGACAACTAAAGGCCTTTGGGAACTAACTAATGCCTTGCTTTAACACCACTAAGTAATAAATAAAAGAAAACCAAACCATCATTGCCATGGAATAATAACTGATTCATAGTTGAGCCTCCAGTAGCTTTTCAGAGGCTGTAAATTGCAATGGGGAGTGGCCACCCTTCTCTGGATGAGAAAATGGTAGATTCAAGTCACTAATCTTTGAGTTGGCAGTACAACTCCCTACCCACTAGGCCAGGAGAGCTCCCTTTTTAATTAAACAATGGTTTATTACAGTCTTTTCTGACTGACTTTTTTGCTTAGCATAATGTCTCCTAGATGTATTCATATTTGTTTCATGATTCACACTCTTTTGTGTGGTAACAGAATAAAACAGGAAAATAACTATTTTCCAATATAAAATAAAAATTTTATAAAAAAAATTAGACATTTTCTTGAAACAAATGCGAATGAAAACATAACATACAAAAATATTTGGGAAACAGCAATGGCAATACTTCGAGGTCAATTTATAGTAATACATGTGTACATAACAAAATAATTAAGAACTGAAATCACCATTTTAATCCAATATATCCCTGACAATTAGAGAAAGAACAGGAAGCAAAGACTACAATCTCCAGGAGAAAACAGCAAGTGAAAAGCCATACAAAGAATCAACATAATTCAAAATTGGTTGTTTGAAAGGATTGATAAAGTTGACAAACCTTACAAATATCACAAAGAAAAGAAGATGCCACTAAGGCTGTGCATCGCTGCTGAGAGAAGGTTGTGGTCACAGTGGCCACAATGCGGGTGGCAGCCTCCACACCGGGAAGGTGGGGGACGCTGAGCAGGGAGCTGCTGGTTTTCTCTGGTGCTCGCAGCTCTGGGGCCATTATTTTTTCACTATTTTTCTTTCAATTATAATGACACTATATACAGTTTTTACTGGAAAGTTTCTCAGCTTTACCTAGTTATACGGCACAATTTAGAAACGTGTTCAAGACTGATTATATCAGTAAACTAACTGGCAAAGATCATATCCATGTGTATGTGGTTATCAGTTTGTATTTTACTGCACCATGAGACCCAGGACCATTGTAGAGAGCAGATTGCAGTGAGCCCGATTTCAGCGACAGAGTCCTGTCCTTTCCAGAACCGTGATGATGTTTCTCCTTGTGGTATAAATTGAACATTTTTGGAGTGTTAACTTTAAATGATGGTTTTGTCCCTTTTCTATTTTATTATGGTCAATGCAATGGCATAGACAAACTTTGATCTTTGTTTTAAAGATTATGAAACTAACTGTGCATGTTTATAAATGGCTTTTCAGGACCCATAGTTTTCACTCTGTAGTCCACAGAAAACTGCAGGTTGATTTCCTTGAGTGCTTTATACTGTTAACGACATCTCTATGCAGGACTGAGGAAAATGACCTTTGTTTCTGTAGGAAACTGTGATGCTTTTGTGGTTGTGTTTGTGCACGGAGATGTATGCAGAAAAGGGCTGCTTCTGAGCCAGGTACAAATGGGGGCCTTGCAAGTTAAATACTGTTTTGATTTCTTGCTTACGCTGAAAATTTTTTCTCTCCATGGAATGTAACTAAAACTCTGTGTATGTCACTAGTAAATGATAATACTAAAGGGTGTGGGAGGGAGGAAGCGAGAGCACAGGGCTGGGGAGAGAGAGAGAGCACAGGGAGGAGGGAGCGAGCAAGTGAGAGAGTGAGAGTGAGCACCCTCGGGGAGAGCGAGAGCGAGAGAGCAAATGGGGGGGGGACGGGGAGAGAAAGCGCTCACATGGTGGGAGAGATAGCGAGCAAGTGAGAGAGAGAGCACGCAGGAGAGCAAGGGCACAGGGTAGGGGGAAGGGAAAGAGCTCACACGGGGAGGGGAAGAGCGAGGGGGGAGAGTATGTGCAAGGGGAGGGGGGAAAGAGAGCAAGCAAGCGAGAGAGAGAGCACGCGTGGGGGAGAGAACTAGAGCGCGAGCAGAGAGCAAGAGAGAGAGAGAGAGCGCACAGCAGGGGAGAGAGCGAGCATGAGGGGAGGAGGGACAGTAAAGTTGGCACAAAATAGAGCAGCTTTCAGGACTACTATACATCACTATGAGTTGCAAGTGACTCAACTGGCACATAACAAAAACAAGAAAAGGTTTATATTCAGACAGAATTAATATTGGAGAGTTAACAGGAGTGGGAAGAGAGGGAAAATGAAGTAAAATTAATTTAAAAAACAAACTATACACATATAGAAAAAATTCTGGAACAAAATTCATTAATATGTTAAAAAGAAAATTTATCTATAAAAATAATATAAATATCTATAATCTCAATCTTTAAAATTATATAGCAAAACAGAACGTCTGATGATACTGTGCTAGGCATGTTTTCTGGAGGAGTCCAAGCTCAGTCAAGAAGGGAGGCAGTTATTAGATGCAGGCTTGCATTTATCAATGTACTATTATTTTTAATGATCAAAGATGTCTTTAAAGTTTTTTCTTGACTTCATTCTAAACATACAGGTAAGGCACGGCCCAGTCATTCTGATGTCTACAGTTAAAACTTTCTCTGCTTATTTAGTTTTTTCCTCTGAGTTCAACCACTGTTGGATTAGTTTTGCATAACTTGGTGCCATTGAGTTAATGATGGACAGAACGAAGTAACATACCATTACAATGACCAACTTCTCAAACATCCAGTACAACCAGTTTTCTCCTTGTGGGGTGCCCATTTCACTTTTGCGGTGGAGTTTTTGCAGCTGAGCTTCCAGGTATTCCTGGAATGGTTTCTGTAGAGAAGGACCAATGCCGGGGACAGCACCTATGAAAGACACCATCTGTTCTGCTATGTGTTTGCTGAATGTTACTGTAATGAAGATTTTCTGAGTGTGCATTTTAATTATTGCTTTTCCAATCAACGTTGAACCAAAGAAGGTCCAAAAAGGTACAAGAAAGTGTCCACAAGTTATTCCAGCTAAATCAAACAAAGGATTTGGAATTGAAGCACAGGCCAAAATTCCAAAAAAGCCAACCTTCTGTACTAGGTTTTGAATCGCAGTTTAGCCCGGGAGGCAAAGTCTTGTGCAGTCTTTGCATGTTCAAGCATCTCTTCAAATTCCTGATAGTCTTTATCATCTGGTTCAGTGCCTGAGAGTCAAGCTGCTCTTGCGATGAAATATGGAGGCAGCTCTCCAATTGCTGTACCAATAACCCATATGCAGGCCTCAATCCTAACTTTTGAGATGATGCTCCATGCGGAAATAGCTCCTTCAATATTCTCTTCATCTGGAAAAATAATCTGATCTGGGTAGGGAGGGTTCAGGGAAATTAACTGAATTACATTCATAAGCAGGTAATGTCACAGAAGCTATTGTCTGGACCCAAATAAAGCAGAAAGATGTACCCTCTTTCAAGACCAACAGAAGACAAAGTTCCTAAGCCTATCCAGTAGGTATACAAAAGAAACTTTCTCTATATGTTGCACATACTGTTGATGTATTCCTTCAACATAATACACAGCTGTAAGCACGGTAAGCAGCAGTAAAAAAGACACCACAATGCTTTGATGATGCTGTAACTAGGATTTCCAGGAAAAAATGCTGCAAGGTAATGAGTGGCTGTCTCCATAGGACAATATTCTACCTTTCTTCTCGATCCCCCCTCTTCTTTTCATCCATTGAAGAAGGGTCTGTGAAGCTTCCATTATGTTGCTCCTTGTTCATTGCTAAACGTCTCTGGTCACAATTTTCCCCATTCTCTGCCATTTCATAGATCAGTAACTCTTTTTTTTAAAAAATTCTATTAATTTTAATAAACATTTACAGAGATTTTGGATTTCTACTAATTCATTGTTGCACTTTTCTCCCTGCCCACCCCTCACCCCCCAGTTCACTCTTCTCTTTGAAAAGTGAAAGAAAAATTCCTTCATTGGTATACAATTCTCCCACCCCGAGTACACTCCACTATGCAATCTTCATTCTGGACTCTTGTCATAACCATAATACCCTATCATATATCGCTTTTAAACTGTTCTCTCCCTCATCTGTTTCAATGCAGTACACATAATTTATCCAGTTTTTCTCAATCTTACCCCAACCCTGAGGTCAGTCCCATTCTACAACAGGGGCACTATGCAGTATTTGTCTTTTTTTTTCCTCAGTATTTGTCTTTTTGTGACTGAGATATTTCACTCAGCATAATGTCCTCCAGTGTCATCCATTTTGAATAATATTGCATGAGTTCCTTGTTTTTCAATGCAATGTAGTATTCCATTGTGTGAATATACCACAGCTTCTCTATCCATTTGTTTGTTGATGGGCATTTAGATTGTTTCCAACACCTTGCTATTGTGAACAAAGCCACAATAAACATGGGTGTGCATATATCTGCTTGGATGGCAGTTATGGTCTCTTTGGGGTATATTCCCAGTAGTGGAACATAGTAACTCTTGAGGAGCTCCATTGCCCTGGTTACTGTATCAATCCATCTCATCCGGGGTCATCCTCTCTTGCACGGTGTCTCTACCCTTCCAAGCATGATGTCCTTCTCCAAAGATCAGTTCCTTCTGGCTATATGCCCAAAGTATGTGAAATCTTAGCTTCCAAAAAGAAATCTAGTTTCACCCTCTCCAAGCCAGACCTATTTGTTTTCTTGGTGGTCCATGGTATGTATGTTCAAGACTCTTCTCCAGCACAACAGGCATCAATTCTTCTATCATCGCTAGTCATTATCCAGCTCTCTGATGCATAGCGAGTAATTTTGAAGACCACAGACTGGATCAGGTGCACTTTAATCTCTAGATTGACATCATTGCTTCTCAGGACTCTGGAAAGGTCCCTTATAGCATATTTATCTGTTCAGACCCCAGCTTCTCAGGATCTTGGGATCCTGGAAGCCTATCAATGTATTATTAAATAGCTATTATTTAATTTGTTGCTGTTTTTTTCTTGGAAAAAGATTCTTTTTTGTAAGCTTTGTGACTTTATTGTCTTTTTGCTTTTTAAAATTGTAATTTGAATGAATATTTAGAAAGTATATTGGGTTTTTTCCCAATAATTTATGCACATTTTATTCTCTAACATTAATTATAATACCCATAGGATCTGATCAACCATACAGTCCCTATTGTCTTTTCCTTCCTCATCTTAATAAGCACACTAGGCACCTGTACTAATCATTTGTCAACATGATCAGACCAAAAAAAGCCACAAACAGCAACAGAAACAAAACCAGGATCAGCCCAGCCAGGATCCCTGTTTATTTAAGAAAATGAAAGCGAGAAGAATCAAAGTGGGTAGACAGAACTAACCCCAGAGAAAACTAATATTTAGGAGGATTCTGTTTCCACAAAATGTAAATATATTGTAATTTTAAAGGAGGAGAAACAGTAAACAAGAGTATTCATCCATTAAACATGAGAATAAAACACTAAACAGGTTGAAAAAGGCAGCTACAAGAAGCAGACATATTTGTCTTTTGTCTGTTATGTAACTGGGTTATCAGTCTTCTTTTCTTGTGGAGGTCCAGGAGTATTCTTTAAACTTTTGTTATAAGACTCTTGTATTTGTTCCCATGGAAAGAATTTTGGATGACAAATAGACACATGAAGAAATGCTCCAAATCACTGGCAATAAGAGAGATGCAAATCAAAATGAGGTACCATCTCACTCCAGTAAGAGTGGCAAAGTTTAACAAGGCAGCAAGTAATAAATGTTGGAGATGATGTGTCGGTGGGATTGTAAAATGGTACAACCAGTGTGCAAGGCAGTTTGGTGCTTCCTCAAAAAGCTGAACACAGAAATTACATATGACCCAGCTATTTCACTATTTTGTATACACCCTGAGAAAATAAGAACTGAGGCACAAATGGAGCTTTGTACACCAGTGTTCATAGCAGCATTATTCACCATCATGAGAACACGGAAACAGCCCAAATGTCCAACTACAAACGAATGGATTGAGAAATTATGGTACATCCACACAATGGAATACTATGCAGCACGCAAGAGCGATGATTTTGTAAATTATTACCTAACTTGGGAGGGATTGGAGAGCATTATGCTGGGTGAATGAACTCAGTCCCACAAGGATAAATACTGTATAAAACCATTATTGTAGAGTGAGTATAAGGATCCAAGAGGGGTAGGAGAGGGTGGAAGCAGAAGGATGTGGATGTGCAGGGGGAGGGGGAATTAATCATAGGGTTGTACAATTTGATGGTGGGGGGGTGTGAGGGAAATTGAAAAAAATTGTTCTTGAAAACAATTTATTTGAATTTTGTAAATAAACTAGAAAATATCTTTTTTTTTTAATAAGAAAAGAAAGAGACATACTGTAAGCTTTTCTTGAAACTTTTTGATCTTGAAGTTCTCTGGCTTCTTCATCTTTTCTCTGGTATCTGCAGTAGGTTGACTGTAGTCACTCACTGAAATAAGAAAGAGCTGAAGTCCAAAATTATTCCACCTGCCAAACTCTGGGGCAAAGAGAGAACTCTACAGCTATGTCAATCAAGGTGACTAAAAGCAATTTCTTTTTTATTAAAACTGGCAACAAGGACTCTTAAGAGTAATTTTCTTCAGTCCAAGACAGAGAAGGGTAACACACTGAGGGGGTTAGTTTTTAGACCAAAAGGTCAAAGTGTCACCGACTTCAGGGAAGCCAGAGAAGTAAATGGTTGACGCATAAAGATGTACGTTGGGCTGGCAAACCCTATTTGGGTTACTTATGTCTCCACTGCTTTCCTGCTAAGTTCATAAATTGTTTAAAAATCCACAGAGGGGAACAACTCACCCAAGCTGCCAATCAGCCCATTTCCGGCCTCAGTGACACTGCTCAGAAAGTGGTCCCTGAAATCCACCATCTGGTTGAAGTAAAGGTTCTGACCAATGAAAAAAATTCATGTACCACAAATGATAAGGCTGTTGTGTCCTCCAATTCTCTCTGTCCAGTTGCTCTTCTTTAGCTAATGAAGTTTCTATTACCCAGGCACCTGGGAGACCCTTCCTGACACCCCTTCACCTCATCATGAAATTTTGTATAGTTTGTTTTCTAAGCAGCACCTCAGGTGTGGCCTCACATTTCACATGGGACTCATTCCAACAAGTTTCTGTGAGCTTACCTTCCTTGTGGCTGCTCTGTCACCTGGTGCAATTTATAATTAACCTTGGCTTTCTCTTACTTAAAACTCTTCAATGTCCTGGATTTAGCTAACAGGTTTTGCCTCCCTGGATGAACCAAGTTGCTTAATTTCTCCAAGCCTTAGTTTCCTCACTTGCAGAATGGAAATATTATAACCCCCTCAAGGGCTGCTTGAAAGTAAAATGAGAGAGAATGGGTATTAGGATAGATCCATAAGCCAGGCGTAGAATTCTGTATCTTGCTCAGTCCTAGGCAGCTGTCCTCCTGCTGTGGGCACCATCTGCTCCTCACTGGACACTGGTCACACAGGCTCAGAGAGAGGGTGTTCAACTTGAGGACAGATTCTTCCCTTTTACTTGACAGGTGTTCTAGATGCCATCAGTGCCTCATCCAGCTCCCCTTTGTGGTCAGGATACCCAAGTCTGCTACTAACTGCGCATAGCTGTCCCTTCTCTGGGGACCTGACCTCTGTAGACTTTCTCCAGAGGGGCTGCTTTTCTCTAGAGGATACAGCCCTTCCTCATCCCCCATACACAACCTGCCTCATAAAGAGACAACCTGGTAGAAATATTCACAGTCCAGAGTTCCCCGTGGATTAGACGAAAGCTCGACTTTGCTCAAGATGCATCATCTTTCATTCTCCATTTTCTCCTACTCCTCTTCGCTCCCCAAAGTATCCCGGGCCCAGGCTCTGCTCTAAACATGGCATTTAGTGTTGAACTGGCTTCAGAGTACATTCATGTGTATTACTCAATTTGTTACATCAATCCTCTTCTGACTTAGTCAAGATCTGTATCTATCCTAATTTTACAGAGATGTTTCCAGCATTACAGGATGATTTACAGCCTCTGAAAACCCATTGTATGGCCAGCTATGGGTCAGTACTGACCCAACAGGACCTAACAACACAACAATAAATGTTAGCTCTCTCCTCTTCCTTGTCTTCTTTCCCCATTTTATCAATCCTTTACTGTTTTGTATATTCTTACATTATGCCCAAAACCCAAAAGGTGTACATATCAATCCTCCACACACTTGCTGGCTTTGTGGCAATGCTTATAGTCACCACATAAGAGGGTAGATCAAGGGAGATGTGGTCACAAAGTTGTGTTTATTTTATGTAACACGAGGAGGCCAAAGCACACAACAGCACACCTTTTATTGGTATTATACCTCAGCTGTTATCACAGACATGTCATCAGACTTCAGAAGAATTAACTGGTCTGAGAACTACAGGACCAAGAGGGTAAGTGATAATTCCACTTATTGTGTTTTGAGTGAAAGTTTATAGAACAATTAATTTTCCCACTCAATTATTCATACATATTTGTTTTGTGGCATTAATTACAGTTCCCACATTGTAAAAGCAGCTTTCTACTTCCTTCCTGTGACTCCTACCCTCCTTTGTCTTTAAATTCTATCCCCTTCTGCCTTCTGAGCTTTCTCTCTGGGCAAATATGATTCTTGTGGTCACATTTTTTAGGGATACACTTGTTCACTGACTGATAAGGATGCTCTTTCCCTGGGTTTCTGAGTCTGTAGATGTTAATGATGGAGATGGACCATTTCTCTCTCACTGAGTTTCTGGTGGACTTGAGCCACCAGAGATACACAGCCATTGGGTTAGCAATGCAACTCACTGCAGACTGTGTCACCAGAGCTTCCTGTTAGGGAAGCAACAGGCTACAGCTGAAGTTGGAAACTGGATGCAGTTCCTCACCAGGATGACTTCTTAAGGAGGCTCACAGGTCCTCTGACACTCAGGCTCGTGGCGGTGGGCCGGTGTTAGAAGGCTCCTTTAGCCTTATCAATTATGGTAAGCCCTCTAGTAAGCAAGCTTAGGGGACGGCACTGGGCTTGGGCTGGAGTGAGCTCAGTCTCACCTTACATCTGTCTCTTTTGTGCCACCTCTGTTGCTGCCGCTACTGTAGCAACAACTGCTGCTGCGGTCTGGGTCCACCTTGCATAGTATCTGACTCAAAGGATGAGCTGCAGGCTCTGCTTCTTTGTTTCTTTACAATTTGTATTTTATACTGGTTTACTTACGAAGTTTGTATATATTGTTTTTCACACCGGGTCCTTCCCATTTCTTTTACCCAGCCTTCTCCCTCCCCCATCAAATTATGTGGTCCTATGATTAAGCCCCCAGATTGACATGGTCAGGTGTAGAACACTTGAACAGATCCATCACAAAAGAAGAAATTGTGGAGGTCATAAGAAACTTCCTCACAAAAAAAAATTCCTGGACCAGATAGCTTCACAGCTGAATTCTACCAAACATTCAGAGAAGATTTATCACCATTTCTACTTATTTAAAAAAAAAAACAGAAAAAGAAGGAACACTCTCAAACAGTTTGTGCTTCTTTTTTATTGATGGTAGCAAGTTTCTACAAGTCAGTTCCATTTTTAGGATTTTGAGTTCCACTCCACATTTATTCCTTCCACTTCGGCCAGGACCCTCAACTGTGATCCCTTTTAGAGCAGTCAGCAGTGGTGGCTAACCATTATCCAGCTCTTCTGGACTCAGGACAGTGGAGGCTGACGTTTGTGTGACCCATTGATTCATGTAGACTAATTGTTCCTATTCACCTTCACTTTCCTCCCCTGTTGTCTGTCCTGGACTGGAAGAGATGATAGAGGTACCTCAGATAGCCACCAGCAAGCTTTTAGGACCCCAGTTCCTACACTTGTCCCTACTCACCAACTAGGATGTAGAACATTGTTCCCGAAGACTATGTGATGCCAAATGACAGTGATGTCCCAGAAGGCATCCTATTATAGGTCCACACGCCTGAAATTTACCCTCATTGATATTTAATTAATTATAGGAAATGCCTTGCTTACAGTGGAGTTTCATAATATCCAAAACTTTTTTCTATTAATTAGACAACACTTCTAGAAAACTTAAGCCCCAATTTACTAATTTCTCAAATGAATAGCTTTTGAAGATCTTACCTTGTTTGAGACTTTAATGTAATTCAGTCTGATGCTAACTTCACAACCATCTTCATGGATAGTAGCTGAGATAAGCTTTAAAAAAATATTGAAGAGAATTCATAACCATGAGTGTGGAATTAAAAAACCTAGAAAATCTGAGGTTCTAAAACTCCTATCCTATATTTAATTAACACAAAAAAGGCAGAAAAGAGAACAGAAGAAAAACCTAGATGGGATAAATAGACAACAAATGGTATAACAGTAGACCCAAATCAGAACATATTAGTAATTTCATTAATTATAAATGAACTGAGTATTTCAATAAAATGTAGAGACTATTAGACTACATAGGAAAGCAAGACCCACAGTGCATGAGAGGGGAGGTGGGTAAGCCTTTGCATTCAGGGGTGATTATCAATGGTGAGCAGCCTTTTCTATAAGCAGTGAGAGAAATTGAGATTAAATCAGGATTTAATAAATGGGTTTTGATTTTTTTAATAAAAAAAGGACAGACAGCAAATATTTTAGATTTTGTGGACCACATGATCTTACAAATGCTCAACTTTGCTGTTTAGCAGCCATAGAAAGTAAGGAAATGACTGGGTGTAGCCATGATCTGAAAAAGCCTTGTTTAAAAATCTTAATTGCAGACCAGATTTATCCAGCAGCTCAGAGGTCATAGACTCGTGGTTGTGGTGCAGGTCAAAGAATTTAGGTTGTTAGGAATGTGGGGTCGAGTTCCCTGTGCTTCATAGCAGCCCTATGAACAGTGGATCTTAACCTTGCCCTACACTGTCCGTCTTCATCATTTCCAACACAGTCAAGCCCTTTGTTGCAGTCACTGTGTTAATCCCAGTTGTGGGCTGACCCTCCACCTTTCCGATCATGATGTCCTTCTCCAAGGACTGATCCCTCTTTACTCCATACCCAGAATATGTGAGACGGAGTTTCACCATCTTTGTCTCCAAGGAGAACCCCAGTTTCACTGTCTCAATCTCCTTTGTTAATCTATTTTGATGGCTTATCAGAGAATTTATTTTTCCATGTTGGCCTATTTGGTGGCAGAGGAGTAGACAGGCATATTTTAAAAGATTCTTTCTAATCTGACAATCAACATTCTTGGTACGAACAATCAGGAAATCAAAAGATGAATTACACTGGGAAAATCTGCTGTCAGGGACCTCTCCAGAGTACTGAAAAGCAACGATGTCAGACTGAAGACGAAAGTGTGTCTGATCCAGGCCATGGTATTTGCAATTGCTTGCTTTGCATCAGAAAGCTGGACAATGACTAGGGATGACAGAAGGAGAGTTTATGCCTTTGAGTTGTGGTGCTGGAGAAAATTATTGAATATACCATGGACTGCTAGGAGTACAAACAGGTTCATTTTGGAGAGGGTGAAACCATGCTGTTTCTTGGAAGCAAGGATTTTGAAGCTCTGTCTGACATACTTTGGGTATGTTGCAAGAAGGGACCAGTCCTTGGAGAGGGACCAGTGCTTGGGAGGGTGGAGGGACAGTGCAAGGGAGGAAGACCCTTGGTGAGATGGATTGAGTCAATGATTGGGGTAATGGGAGTAGGAGTCTCAGAGACGATAAGGTTGGCACTGGATAGAGCAGAGTTCAGGGCTGTTGTACACAGGGTTGCTATGAGTTGCAAGCAACTCAATGGCACTTAACAACAACAACAACAACAACAACAACAACAACAACAACAACAATCTCTTCACAAATAGAGGAAAAAAATCTTCTCACACAAGATGTCTCTTTACATTTTGACAGTGTAGTTCCAGAGAAAGGAAATCTAGATTCCAACAGATGTGGCTTAAAATCCTGAATTCTCTTAAGACTCAGCAGTGCAGTCCTGGGTAAGTCACCAAACCTTTCTGAGCCCAAGTTTTCCTCGATGTCAAGTAAAGTGTAGGGAGCTTTGGTGACCTAGAGGAAAGAAGCTGTGCTGCAATCCCAAAGGCACGTGCTTTGAAACCACCAGCTCCTCCACGGGAGAAGGATGGGCAATCTTCTCTTATGAGATTAACTGCCTCTGAAAACCTGCTGGAGAGTCAGCTATGGGTAGGTTCTGACTCAACAGTACAAGAAGTAAAGTGTGTTCTGATGATCGATGCCATGTACTAGAACCTTCCAAACTTAGTGATCAATGCCACAAAGAATACTAACTTTCTTCTGCTCAGCGATTTAGAGCAAAGATGGGTAACTTCTCTCTGCTCACACATCTGAGGTTTTAGCTGGGAAGACAAATGGCAAGGGGTGTAGCTTGATGCTGGGTGCTGGAATTACCTTGTCTAGTTATTCTGGTGCGCTGGTGGTATGAAGTGTTAGGCTGCTAATGAAAAGGTCAGTGGTTGTACCTCTCCAGTTAACTATCCTACAGAAGAAAGCTGAGTTTGCTCCCATTACAATGTATAACCTTGGACATAAATGGGACAGTTTTACAGGGTTGAACCTATTGGCCTGTTCTACAAAGTTATTCTGAGTTGGAATAGATTCAAATGCTAGTCCTTGTGTGCCTGACACTTAAACTGGGATGAACTGAGGATTGGGACCCATGAGGGCAGCAGACTGGAGTGGCTACATGTGGCCACTCTGGGTGGCTGGGCTTCTCTCAGCAGGATGACTGGGTTCTAAGACAGGGTTTCTCAAGAAGGAACATCTGGAGATGAACATACCAGCAAGGAAAGATTCATGGCCTTGAAGGACTCAGCATGGGAAGTTTGTCAGAATCTATTAGTTGACTATAAAAAAACCAAGTCCCACTTCCACTGAGTCCACTTCCTATGTATAGCCACCCCTTGGGTTTCCAAGGCTGTAACTCTTATTTATTGCGCTGCCACCTGGAGACAGACATCTGGTCACAGCCAGTCCCAGTCTGCAGCAGGAGTCAGGGTTTGGTTGTGCATGGCTGAGGGGCAAGGCTGGCCTTGACAGCTGCCCGGCTCCTCTCTGACTCAGCTTAAAGTAAGGGCTCAGCCTCCCTGGCCTCTTTCGGATGGAGTCTTGGAGAAAAGCTGCTTCATGAGCCAACAACTAGCAACTGGAAAGGACTATAAGGGAGATGGTCAAGAGGCTTTTCCATGCAAGGCCTCAGAAAGAGAACTGAGGTGGGGCTATCAAGAACTTACCTGGGGCCTCCACCTTTCTCAGCCCCAGGGCCAGGGGTTAAGTATGGATTGGTGTAGTAGGCCATGGGCATGGTCACCACAGAGAAGTGCCTTGGCCCCAAGGCTGTAAATCTTAATGGGAGCAGACTGCCTCAGCTTTCTCCTACAGTGTGGGTGGTGGGTTTGAACCACCAACCTTTCAGTTAGCAGCTGTCCATGTAACCCACTATGCCACCAGAGCAGAGGACACAGACTCTATATTTTGAAGGAAGACTGCCGGGATTTTTTCAACTATCACAGATGCAATACTCCTATTTTGTAGGTTTGTTATAGGGATAAGAAATGATGATTATGACACAGATATCGAGTGCACTGTTAAGTGATAATATTAACAATTACTAATAATATAGTTTATAGTTTAAATGCACAGCATGGCTGGACTAAACTCTTCTGTTCTTTTAGCTCTAACCACCAGATTTTCCACAGCATACGCCATCTAAGTATACTGTTCAAAGTCATGCTGTCTTAGATCAAGTGCTCCAGAAGCAGAGCTTGGGACAAGCGACCACTCCCAGGGTAGACCAGTAAGAGGTGTGGGAAGTAATGCAGAAAAGCAGCAGCAGCAGCAGCAGCAAGTGTTTCATTTCAGGCAAAGCCCCAGGGAGGGCCCCTGAATCCAGCCTGATCCTACAGAAGCCCCTAGAGTTTCCCAGACTCCCAATGAGGATCCTGTTAGCCTCATGCTGTAGAAGCTCTTAGGGGTGTGTGTGTATATATTTGATCTCTGAATTTCCCAACATTCCAAGCAGGGGGAGTCACTTCAGAATGATCCCACAGAAGCTCTCTGGGGTGTGCATTCCCCCTCAGAGTTTCCCACCTTTCCCATCCTGGGCTCTGCAATTAAGGTTCGGAACTCAGGATTGTTCTGAGTGTAAGCGCTGAGGTGAGCACAGATATGATCCAACTGCTTTCTCCAGTATCCTAGAGGAAGAAGAGAAACCTAAATTCAGCCATGTGGACATTTCTTTTGTGGCTATCACAGAAAGAGAGCATGGAGCATGTGTTCTCAGAGAAGCTGCCAGTTTTGTGATCTTGTACTTCCTAAACCTCAGCTAGTCAACGGTCCGAACTCTACTGTTGTTACCAGCGTCACTGCACACATACGGCTAAGCACTCAATTACTAGCCTGAGGTGGGTTGCTTGAACCTATTCAGAGCTTCCTCAGAAGATCTACCTCTGAAAATGCATAGTCTTATATATTCTGTAGAGCACATGGCAGAGTTTCCATAAGTCAGAATCAGCTTGACAGCAACTAACAATAACAAGACAATGTCAAAAGACAGATCCTGGTTGTTCCACATGGAGTCTTTTTTTTTCTTTTAAAAATATTTTCTTAAAATAATTTTTTAATTTCAGTGAATGTTTACAGACACTTTGGATTTTCATTCATTCACTGTTGCATTTTTCTCCTTCCTTACCCCTCCCCACCCAATTCACTCTTTTCTTTGAAAAGTAAAAGAGAAATTCTTTCATTGTTATACAATCCCTCCCCACAAGTCCACTCCACTATGCAGCCTTCATTCTTAACTCCTGTCATGATAATAATACTTAATCATATATCCCTTTTAAACAGTTCTCTCCCTCATTTGTTTCAATGCAGTATACATTATTTGTCCCCTCTTTCTCAGTCTCCCTCCAACCCCAATGTCAGTCCCATTTTACAACAGTGGCACCATGCAATATTTGTCCTTTTGTGACTGAAATATGTCAGCAGCATAATGTCCTCTAGGGTCTTCCATTTTGTATACTATTTCATGAGTTCTTTGTTTTTTCAATGCAGTGTAGTACTCCATTGCGTGAATATACCACGGCTTCTCTATCCATTCATTTGTTGATGGACACTTAGGTTGTTTCCAACTCTTTGCTATTGTGAACAAAGCCACGATAAACATGGGTGTGCATTTATCTGCTTGGCTGGCAGTTATGGTTTCTTTGGGGTATATTCCCAGTAGTGGAACTGCTGGGTCAAATGGTATTGCTATTTGTAACTTTCTGAGAAAGAGCCATAAGGTCTTCCATAGTGGTTGCACCATTTTACACTCCCACCAACAGTGAATAAGGGTTCCAGTTTCTCCACAACATGGAGGAGTCTTTTTTACCAATTATATTAAGATATATCTGTCCTGCTATCCCAAAGGCATACAATTTGAATCCACCAGCTGTTCTGTGGGAGAAAGATGACAATATTCTTTTGTGAGAATTACTGCCTCTGAAAACCCATTGGAGGGTTAACTATGGGTCAGTTCTGACTTGATGTACAGCAGTAACAACATTTCGAATGTATAGTTTGAAGTTTGCAAAGTATACAGCTTTCAAATACCATCCCAATCAACATACAGAACATTTCCACCCCTCTAACAAGTTCCTTTGTGCCACCATTTATAGCTTGGAGACCCTGGGTGGCATAATGATTAAGTGCTCAACTCTAGAGGAAAGTTTGGCAGCTTGACTCTACCTGGAGTCCCTCAGAGGATAGGCCTGCCTATCTGCTTCTGACAGATCACAGCCTTGAAAAGCCTATGAATGAGTTCTACTCCACTACACACCAGGGCTACCCATGCACTGGAATCAACTTGATGGCTCCTAACAACAATGTAACATTCAGAGGTCCACACATCTCACTACACGTCTGGACTGTGGTTTCATGTGTACAGCTGCGAGATGTGACACGTCCTCCTATACAGGCTTGGCTGGGCCAGAAGAAAGCGCCCCTCTTAGGACAGGGCACAGTCCTCCACCACACCACAGCCTTGCATGCCCAGCTTCTGCCTTCTCTTCTCTGCCCTGTGGCTATCTGCATCTGGAAATGCACATCCAATCATCTTCCCCACCAGCATGCTCTCAGCACACACCAGAGCAATCACCTGACATGTGTAAGGTCATCAAATCATTTAGCAGAAAGAGTATGGGAACTGACCTGTGCTTATTTCTGCATCTCATCAGCCACCTAGTAGGTTATTAAATTTGTGCTAGATATTTAATATCCCTAAGTCTTATCTTTCCTACTTATAAATACCTCCTTTTCGAATGTATTATTATGTTGTTGTAATGTGTCAATAAGATAACTATACCCCTCAGTAACTCTATGAACAACAGATCGGAATCTGGCCATATATTATGCTATCTTCATGGTCTCAGTCATGCTCAACTCCACTTGTTTAATCACTGTATCAGTCCAACTTGTTGCAGGTCTTCTTTGCTTTCTCTGACCCTCCACCTCTCTCAGTATGGTCTTTTTGTGAGGACTGGTCCCTCATGAGAGCATGTCCAAAGTATGCAAGACAAAGTTTTATCCTCCTTGTCCCTAAGGAGCACCCTGATTGTACCCCCTGTAAGACCAATTTCTTTGTCCTTTTGGACTCCACGGAATAGTCAGTAATCTTCTCCAGCACCACAATTCAAAGGCAGAGCTTTTTATTCAGTCACTCTTATTCATTCTCCAACTTTCAGATGCTTTGGAAGCAACAGAAAATACCATGGTTTCATCGGGTGCACTTCAGTCTTTAAACTGGCATCACTGCTCTCATAGTTGCTATTATGATATTAAATGAGTTGGTTTATTTGGAAGGAAATCCTGGGAAGCCAAGAGATGTAGAGGAGACAGTGAGATAGGGATGAGAAGAAAGTCACTGAAGAATGTGTTCAACTAGTTATTAATATGGATAACCAGAATCAGAGATCAACATACAAGTATCAATTATATTTCTATTCACTTCCACTGAAAATTTGAAAAGTAAAATTACAGAAACAATCCCACTGTGACAGCATCAAATTCCAAAATTATTTGAAATAAATTTAACAAAAGAAAATAAAATATTACACACTGAAATGTAACACAGCTTAATGACATTGGAAAAATTCAGTATAAAGGAAAAGATATCTCATTTTCAAGCTTGTTTTAGCTGTTCTGGATCCTTTGCATTTCTATATGAATTTTAGAATTAACTTGTCAACTTCCACAAAGAAGTCGACTGAGATGATGATAGGGATTTAATTAAGTTTGTAGATAATTTGGGAGAGTAAGGACTTGTGCTGCCAATGTACAATGTGTGTGGTTTGAATTTGCCAGCTGCTCTGTGGGTGAGAGATGGGCAGTCTCCTCCTATGCAGTTTACTGCTTCTGAAAACCCACTGGAGGGTCAGCTATGAGTCAGTTCTTTGAGCTGGTGGTATTCAACAATAACAGCAACAACAACAACAATAATCATCTTAGTAATATTAAGGCACTGAACTATCCCTGTTGTCGAGAAAATGGCTATATAACTCAGAGTGAGCAGAAAGTCAAGACCTGCTCATAGCTTCTTGTTAACAAATTCAAGAAATGGAGAGTCAGTGAGATTCTCAGAGGGGAAAAGTGTATGGGAAGTTAGAAAAGGTAGCTTCATTACTGCATACTTCATTACTTCATTTACTCTTCCTAACTCCCCATGTACTCTTCCCCTTGAAAAAACTACATCTCCATTTCTGGAGTTTGTTATAAGATTGAGAAAAGCCTTCAAGGTCACATAATGCCACAGCTATGAAAGGAAGCGAGTTGCATCTATGCAACGTAAGTTTTAAAGGAACGGTATCTGACTGATATTTAAGGAAGTGTGTTATTAGGGAACATCAGTTGTGTTACTGTTCATTCCAGAAGCTTTTTGTAGAAACTGACAGCCTGATTAAAATGTTCATTTGGAAAGACAAAGGAACTAGAAATATCCAAAGCAGTTCTGAAAAAGAGTAACAGAACTTATACTGTCCAATTTCAAAACTTGTTAGAAAGTTACAATAATTTAAACAATATAATTTTAGAGTACAAATAGACTAAGAGATCTACATGTCTCTGCTGTTAGGTGCTGCTGAGCAGACTAGGACTCACAGTGACCCTAGGACAACACATATGAACCTTGCGCTATCCAGCACTCTCCTCACAATTTCTGATATGCCAAAGGCCATTTTTTATTTGAACTTTTAAAAATTGTGATTTTAATGGAAGTTTACTGACAAGTTGCATTTTTTATTCATTCATTGTTGCACATTTTTTCCTTACCCCTGCCCCACAGAGGGCATTCTTAGTCACTTTATTAATCCATCTTGTTGATGGAACAGAATGAAGTCCAGATATTAGACTACATACATACAAGTCAACTAACTTTTGCCAATGAAGGCAGAGCAGTACAACTGGGAAAGTAATATTTTCAATGGATGTCACTGATCAAAATCTCAATGTAGAAAAATGAATCTTAACTCTTTATCCCAAATCAAATACAAAAGTAACTTGAAATAGATTAGAAGAGCCAAACTATGAAACTCCTATTAGAAAACAAGAGAGCTCTGGTGACCTAATGGGTAAGGAGTTATGCTGTCAAAAGCTGGTGGTTCGAATCTACCACCTGTTCTACAGACGAAAGACATGCAGTCTCATCCTGTTCAGTTTACAGCCTCTGTAAACCCACTGGAGAGTCAGCTATGAGTCAGTTCCAACTCAGTGGCACATAATAGCAACAGTATCAGCAAAACACAATGGCTAAAATCTTGGTGACCTCAGATTGGTCACAAGTTTCTTAAATATGTCACACAACACAAAGTGTAAAAAGAAACAAATTAATAATTTGAAATTTACTAAAACAAAATATTTTATCTTCAAAATAGATTGAGCTAATTGCCCTGCTGGTTCTCATCAGGGCTAAATTATTCTCAGTACTTGACAGTGCCAATACACACACACACACACACACACACACACACATTATGTACATTTCCAGAGTAGTGGCCCATACACAGAAGGGCAGGCTTCCAATTCTATTCAAGGGAAGGCTTAACACGTTGGCACTTTCACCTTTGAGAGACAGAAGAAAGGGATAAGGGTGCACTATGAGATAGTAACTGAGTAATCTCTGAGGCGGACAAAGGACTATCACTGTTACCAAGAAAGCAGCAGCAGATACTGCAGTGTGTCCTTTTGGGCCAGAGATTCTGGTTCGAGAAGGAGATCCAGACTGAACCAGACCAGCAGATGCAGCAGAGGTAGCAGAGAAGCAGACACTGATGTGGTAAAGCTGAACTGGAAGTGCCATCCCATGGAGCCAGAACTGAGGGCCTTTGCTCCACTGGAGGGTTGGGAGAAGACACTATACCTTACAGGAGTCAGAGCTGTGAACAGTGGTCAAGAGCCATGAAGCTAGAGGTCAGAGGGCCTGTGTATATATCTGAGAGTGTACCTATTATATCCTTTTTCCTTCCTGAACAGTGTCCTATTTCCTACCTAAACTGTAATCTGTTACTCCTTTAATAAACTCCACAAAAATATGGGACGGGTAGGAAGAGAGAGGGATGACAGGATGAACTGTGCATGTATAAATTCCTGAATTGGAGCATGTCCTGTAGTGTATATTCTCAGTAACAAAAATAAATTATCTTAAAAAAGAGACATGAAAGGGAGCTCTGGTGGCCTAGTGGAAAGAAGATGCACTGCAATCCCAAAGGTACGCAGTTCGAATCCACCAGATGCTGTGCTGGAGAAGGAGGGGCAATCTCCTCCTGTACTAGTCAGATCCGATTTGACGGTACACACACACACACACACACAATAATAAAAAAAATAAAATTTTTTTAAAAAGAGACATGAAAGATGGCAATAATAAAAACAGACTCATGAAATTTCAATCATAGTAAAAAAAGCCACTATGTGCTATTTATGAAATAATGATTTTACATGTTAGAATATAATATTGGAAGCTTAAAGAAAAACTATTATTCATATGCAGAAAAATTACTTGAAAAAGAATTAAACAATGAAGTCACTTTTTATATAGAAGAAAAAAATTTTCAAACAAAAAAAAGTGAAGGTTTTTGTTTCACTTTTAAAACAGAGTGAACTCCCTCTGACCACACTCACACAGTACATCTCTTCCTCACCTCTTCCGGGGCTGACAGCTGTGAGGAGAGGTTTGTGGTCCCTCATGCTCTCCCGCCTTTGCTTTTGGGAAGCCAGCTCCATTTCCTGCTTTTCTAGCATCTTGCTGGATGAGTAGAACAGGCCAACAGTCTGTGTGCCAGCATCTTTAGTCCCAGCACTGGCTCTCAGCAGAGGGGAAGTTAGGGACTGCCAAGCAGATCGAGGCTACAGCAAGGCATAAAGCAGTAAAAAATGGAACATAATTTAATGTACCCTCTATTATGTTCACAGAAACAAGTCTAATCAGTAGAAGAATCTTCTAGAAAACCTTTGGACTGTAAAGGGATTTCCCAGCCTGGACTTCATGTTCCTTACTTCTGTCTTCAAGAGTAACTTACAGTGTGATAGAAGAAGCCACATCATCCTGGGGGACATTTACTATCTCCAATTAAGTAAACTGCTTGATGTTCCCTGACCTGACTGAGACCTGGAAGATCTCATCTCTTTAAGTTCTACCCTTCAAAAGAACCTAGATTCCACTTCCAATCCAGATTTATCCACTGGCATCAACCTTCAATGTGGGAAAGGGTTCTGATCTGTTGTTGTTCACAGGGTCACTCTGGGTTGTATTTGACTCAAGAGCACTTAACAACAATGACGTCAATGCATTTTCTGAAACATTCTCCTGCACTGGACCTGGGAGTGTGATGAGACTAGAATGTAAGATTATGCAAGCTGTGCACTGCATAAAGGGATCACATTCAAAGAAGAATCCTCCACATGAAGGATGTCATAAACTTTGTTTACTAGGATATTTTTTTTCCTTATAGAGAAAAGACAATTTCTACTAAATTAACACATGAGAATCACTTTCCATCAGATGGTAGTCAAGCATCTTGGGGAGAGAGCACCTTTGGTTCCTTAGCACAAAGCTGTATATGAGATAGTGACCACTCTGGGATCTATGTATCTTTCAAGCAGTGCTAAGAAAGTCATGACCTCTCTAAACCTTTTTCAAAGTTCTGAGAGCATCTAATCTATGAGTGCTGGAAATTGTCTACATCCCTGAGGGGTAAGAATCACTCAACCCTACTGGGCAATTTTACACATCATCTTTCTCACTAGTAAATTGATTAGTCCAGTTGGAGTGAGTAGAATAGTCTAATCACAGGGCAGACGGTAGGCCAGGGCCAAACAAAAGTATCAGACTATCAAGTTGTTTAGTTTACTCAGGAAACGTCAATCAATCTAGGAAACTTCCTTTGGAAGTAACACATCCTTTAGGGTAGAAAATCGTATGAGAGTCCCCATCTGAAATTTCTTTCTCAAGAACTGTCACTGCTGTTTAGTCAGGCCTGACACAGCAGCCCCAGCAGGTTTCAAAGGGTGTGAACTGCGTAGGAGATGCCCTATCTTTTTTTTTTGCAGAGCCACTGATGGACTTGAACCTTTAGAGAGGTGCAGTGTGACCAGAGCTCCCTTCTGAAGAAATGGGGAACAGGTAACTCCTCAGAGATTAAGGCACGAAATCTCCCAAGCTGTTCTTCCAAAGAACCAAGGCAAAAGTCCACACAAAAGAACAAGTTTCACTGCCATACATATGTATACTCTTCAATAACAATAAACCTTCAAATTCTTATAATGATAAGAAACCAGAAAAATCTTTATTCACCTGAGGGAAATAGATCATAAAATATGAAGACGATGCCAGCTCGAACTTAAAACACATTAAAAATAACTTGGTGAGATTTTTCTCAAACTACATTCAGTTGTTATAAATAGCAAAACTAATCTTATACACTTCTGCAGCAGGCGCTTCAGGTCCTCCTCAGTTTCAGCAAGCAGGATTGTGTCATCTGCATAACGCAGATTGTTGATAAATGGTCCACCAATCTTGACCCCACATTTCTCCTCATAGAGCCCCGCCTCCCGGATAATCTGTTCTGCATATAGGTTGAAAAGGTATGGAGATAGGATGCATCCCTGGCGTACGCCCTTCCCAATTTTGAACCATGCAGTGTTCCCTTGCTCTGTTCTGACGACTGCCTCCTGGTCCAAGTATAAGTTTCGCATTAGAACGATCAAGTGTTCTGGGATTCCCATTCTTCTCAGAGTCAGCCATATCAAATGCCTTTGCATAGTCAATGAAACACAGATAGACATTCCTCTGGTATTCCCTGCTTTCAGCCAAGATCCATCTAACATCAGCTACAATATCTCTAGTACCACGACCCCTTCTGAAACCAGCCTGGACTTCTGGTAGTTCTCTGTTGATGTGCTGTTCCAGTCGTTTTTGGATAATCTTCAGTTAAATCTTGCTTGCATGTGAAATCAGTGAGATTGTTCTGTAGTTTCCACATTCTGTTGGGTCACCTTTCTTTGGGACAGGAAAAAATAAATATCTCTTCCAGTCAGTTGTCCAAGTGGTCATTCTCCAGATTTCTTGGCACAACTTGGTGAGCACGTCCAGGGCAGAATCTGTTAACTGAAATATTTCAATTGGTAAACCACCTATTCCTGGAGCCTTATTTTTTGCCATTTCCTTCAAAGCAGCCTGAACTTCTTCTTTCATTACCATAGGCTCTTGCTCATATGTTGTTTCATGAAATTCTTCTGTGTCTTCCAATTCCTTTTGATACAGTGACTCAGTATATTCTTTCCATCTTCTTTTAATACTTCCTGGATCATTTAACATTCTGCTGAAAGCATCCTTGATTATAGCAACTCGAGGTTTGAATTTGTTCTTCAGTTCCTTGAGCTTAAGATATGCTGAGCGAGTTCGGCCCTTTTGATTTTCTGACTCCAACTCCTTGCACATTTCATTGTAATATTTTGCTTTGTCATCCCTTGCTGCCTTTTGAAATCTTCTATTCAACTCTTTAGTATCTTGAATTCTTCCTTGTGCTTTGGCTTCTCTGCGCTCCAGTGCAATTTTCAGAGTATCTTCTGACATCCATTTTGGTCTTTTCTTCCTCTTCTGTCTTTGCAATGAAGAGGACCTGAAGCGCCTGCTGCAGAGTGTCAAGGACTGCAGCCTACAATATGGATTGAGGCTCAATGTCAAGAAGACAAAGATTCTCACCACTGGACCAATTGGCAGCATCAGGATGGATGGTGAAGAGATTGAGATTGTACACAGCTTTAGTTTGCTTGGCTCCATAGTCAACACTCTTGGCACCAGTAGCCAGGAAATTAACAGGCACATTGCCATGGGAAAGTCTGCTGTTAGGGACATCTCCAAAGTACTGAAGAGCAATGGTGTCTCTCTGGAGACTAAGGTGCGTCTGATACAGGCCATGGTCTTCGCAATCACTTGTTATCATCAGAGAGTTGGACAATGACCAAGGAGGATAGAAGGAGAATTGATGCCTTTGAGCTGTGGTGCTGGAGAAGAGTATTGAGAATACCATGGACTGCTAGGAAAACAAACAGATTTGTCCTGGAAAGGGTTAAACCGGGTGGCTCCTTGGAGGCAAGGATTCTGAGGCTCCGTCTAACATACTTTGGACATGTTGTGAGGAGAGACCGGTCCTTAAGAGAGGGACATCATGCTTGGGAGGGTGGAAGGACGGTGCAGGAGGGGAAGGCCCTCTATGAGGTAGACTGATTCAGTGACTGGGGTAATTGGGATGGGAGTGTCGGAGACAGTTTGATTGGCACAGGACAGAGAGGAGTTTAGGGCTGTTGTACATAGGGTCACTATGAGTCGCAAGCGACTCGATGGCACATAACAACAATAACAACAATCTTATACACATGGAGTGTAAGTCTTTAAAAATATATCATGAGGAAAATTTCTCAGTGTGCTACAAGAAGTTAAGAGACTTTTAATTTTACTTGTTTTAAAACTATTTCTCTGTAGCCACATTATGTTTACTGCTTTGCATTGCTGTTGCTGTCGTTAGGTGCTATCAAGTATGACTCACAGCAACTCTAAGAACAACGTATCGGAACCCTGCCCTATCCTGTGTCAACCTTTCACTTCTTGAAACACTAGAGCCCACCGCAGCAGTCACTGTCCTTCTCCAAGGAATAGCCTCTCCTAGTAACATGCCTGAAGTATGTGAGATGAAGCTTTATCATGTGAGACAAAGCTCTGTGTTAGGGGAAGAATAATTGGGTAAGTCAGGCATAAAGCAAAGAATTCCAGAAGAATGTCTATCTGTGCTTCATTGACTATGCAAAGGCTTTTGACTGTGTGGATCACAACAAGCTGTGGCTGACTCTGAGAAGAATGAGAATCCCAGACATTTGATTGTGCTAATGCGAAACCTATACTTGGACCAAGAGGCAGTCGTCAGAACAGAGCAAGGAGACACTACATGGTTCAAAATCAAGAAGGGGGTTGATCAGGGATGTATTCTCGCTCCATACCTTTTCAATCTGCGTGCAGAACAGATCAACCAAGATGCTGGGCTGTACGAGGAGGAATGTAGCATCAGGATTGGTGGAAGATTCATCAACAATCTGCGTTATGCAGACGACACAACCCTGATTGCTGAAACTGAGGAGGACCCAAAGCACTTGCTGCAGAAGGTCAGGAACTGCAGCCTCCTATATGGATTGAAGCTCAACATCAAGAAAACAAAGATTCTCACCACTGGGCCAACTGGCAGCATCAGTATGGATGGTGAAGAGACTAAGACAGTTAACAGTTTTAGTTTACTTGGCTCCACAGTCAACACTCTTGGTAACAGCAGCCAGAAAATCAAGAGATGAACTGCATTGGGAAAGTCAGCTGTGAGGGACCTCTCAAGAGTACTGAAGAGCAACGACATCAGACTGGAGACTAAGGTGTGCCTGATCTGGGCTATATTCTTCGCAATTATGTGCTATGCTTCAGAGAGTTACGACAGTGACTAGGGATGATAGAAAGAGAATTGATGCCTTTGAGCTGTGGTGCTGGAGAAGAGTGTTGAATATATCATAGACTGCTAGGAGAACAAACAGGCTTATGATTGTGCTTATGTAAAACCTATACTTAAACCAAGAGGCAGTCATCAGAACAGAGCAAGAAGACACTGCGTGGTTCAAAATTGAGAAACGTGGATATATGGCTGGGTATTATGGTTATCACAAGAGTCCAGAATGAAGGTTGCATAGTGAAGTGTACTTGGGACGGAGAGGGGGTGGTGGTGGTAGACAGGGGGATTGTATGCCAATGAAGGAATTTATTTTTTCCTTTCAAAGAAAAGAGCAAATGGGAG